GTTCCACTGTACCAAGAAAATGAAAGTGACAAGTAGGATATACCACGGTTTACCATGAAAAAGAGTTGCATATCTATTTTATACCATACCATAGTAAATACAGTAGCCAACACAGTTGATGAGAAATACGTGTGGCGCACGATGGGAAGGTTGGGTGTAATACCGTCGAGTCTACAACGGCTTTCCCGTGTTCTGATTGGCTGTGTTTTCTATGGCATGGTACAAATAACAGTACATTTCAAAACCAGGAGGTCTGACCTTATCCAATTCTCGGCCCGAGGTCTAACTTAATTTGTGAACTTAAAATAACTTCTCCATTATGGTTTTCCCTGAGGAGTACTTCCCCATTCATCTGTTCTAGCCGATGACCTGCGAGTGTATAATCTTCACTATGGGCCAACATTCGCTCCCGGGTAGACTTCCATATAAAAAAGACGTCAATGCCAGTCGGAAATTTTGAAAAGAACTTTTGTGGGCGTGGCTTGAAATTTTTTTCACCCCTAACAGGTTCCAATTCTAAAACAACACATTATCCTGTCTTATTTTTTTCAGCTCAATACCCTAAAAGGTAGCGCAAAAGCTTCCTCAGTGGACCTTTTGAGGCTGAACACCCTCATGGACACTAACACCACTTTTTCAGCCCTTAAAAGGTACGATGAGCACTGCCATCCTTTTTATGTGGGAGTCCACCCACCCCGGGCCAGATTAGGATCCGGACCCGAATCATGCCCGATTAGAATCCAGACCCAAATCATGCCCGATTAGAATCCGGACCTGAATCGTGCCCGATTAGAATCTGGAGCCGAATCATGCCCGAATAGGAAAATAACAACTTTAAAAGCTCTTTCAATCCGCTGACAACGCTTCAACTGTTGATGCTTTGGTACCAGTTGAATTAGTTAATTTTTCAATTGAGATAATTCTTTCTCTTTGGTAAACAATTGTCTAATCTTGGGTTAAAAGTGATTATCACTTATAATAATCAGTTTGTATAAATTTTATATTTTTGAATATCAGGGCTCAAAAAAACCCTATTTTCCACTTGCTTAAGACAAGTAGTTTTTCTCACTGAAATTTATATAATTGAACTGCGGAATATAGATTTAATTAGAAGAATGACCAGCTCCCGGTTGGTTTGATAGCTCACTGAGTTGCTTTTAGCAATTAACCAGCTATCACACACCTGTTCAAGCCTGAATGTTTTT